ACACACACACACACACACACACACACACACACACATACACACACGCTCACAAACATACACGCTCACAAACATACACACACAAACACGTACAAACACACTCACACACGAAGGAACAAAAATTGATGTTTATACAATTTATAAAAATAAAAGATTTATCTAAAAAATCAGAAGTAAAACGACAAATAATTTTCGAGTGTAAGCATAGAGTTATCCCCTTTACTATAGTGTACATCTATGAGTTTAAGTATTGAACAATACGTTTTAACTGAAATTAATGAGGCACTTTAAAAAACAGACAACAGAAACAACAACAAAAAAGAAAACCAAAGAATTAAAAACCCAGCACACTTACTTACTTTTACTTTTATTATCCTCTTACACAGCAAGGTATCGGGGATAGACTCAATTATTGGATGTAAACTATGTGCTACACTTTGGATCGCCATATTCCGCTCATACAACTTTATGCAGTTGCGAGCGCCGTAAAACTCTTACTTAACAAGCAAACGGATCGCCATATTGTGCACTTGAAGGGTTCTTTAACGCCATCGATTCATCTTTTTTAGCCATCGAATCGCATGTTGTAGTTGTAGGCTTTTGAGGCTGGCAGTTGTGGCCACATTCTTATAAGGTGTGCAGACAATCTTATTAATTGTAGCCTCTTGATTCAACGTTCTCTTGTTGTCTGATATCTTCGTTTCTTGTCTGTCTCTTCTCACGATTTTTAACGTTTTGCTAGTACCTTTTCATTTCGCATGTTGTTGTTAAACCTTTGGTGCGCTTTCTTGAGGGTTTAGGTTTAGCACTGGTAGCAGAAATTTGGAAAGAAGATTGATCTGAAGAGTTGTTTCTTTGTCTCCTTTGGGATGTTTTGGTGAGAGAGGGTGGCCGCGCTTACCTTTTGTACTCGGGCTTAAATTTCTCTGTCCATTTCAATGTCTGGTGTAAAATGCTTCCAAGATATATGAATTCATATACTCGTTTCAGTTCTGAGTTGTTCACTTGGATATTTGATGTAGTTTGGTTTCTGGAAACGTTCTTTTCCTCTGTCTAATTTTTCCAGTACACTACTTCTTTCAATGACATTTTTCAGTTCTAGTGCCCTTCCAAAGAAGAAAGGAGCCTTTAATATCTGAGACATGCAAATGGAAGATTATTATTATTGAAAGAAAAATTCAAGACAAAGTTTAAAAAATATATTTTAGTACCTGTTGCGTAAATATAAAATGATGGCTTGGATAACATAATTGCTGAGTGTTTTGCTTTTATCTTGTTGGTTCTTAACAGCCCACTTCTACGTAGCGAAGATTTCCCAACATTTCTCCCTAGACCCTCAAGAAAAGTGTAGAACGAAGCAGCTACTCTTATGTTCCCTTCTCGAAACTAAACATTACACTTTCCTGTGTCGTGAGAGTTTGTAGGACAAAAGACCATCGCTGATTTCGTTCAGTCCTGCATTAAAAGATTTGATTAAACCGTTAGAAAAAGGCCCCCAAAATCGAATTGGAGAACAGGGATTGGATGCCCATAATCATATATACGACCTCGACCTCCCGACCTCCACACCCCCTTCTTTCTCTCTCTCTCTCTCTCTCTCTCTCTCTCTCTCTCTCTCTCTCTCTCTCCCTTCTTTGCCACCTCTCCTCTCTCCTTTCTCCCCCCCCTCCCTATTCGCCCCCTCTCTTAGGATCCATCTGTCATTTATTGCTGTGCGTGACTTCGGACTTTTTGCGGTATCCAGAGCACCGGAAGGAGACACGGGAAAAGAACTTAAATCGACACGATTTTCTTTCCCACATAATGACCGGGATTTGCGTTCATGACGTTAATTCGGGCAATTTCACTTTTCTAGTAATCTTAGAAAGCTCAAAAATATATTCTAACAACTCTTGAAAGTCCTGCAATCATTATATCATCCTATCTTTTCATTAGATATTGTCACGAAATGCTATTAATAGACTGTACCATCTTTCAGAGACAAAGGAAACGAAGGGTTTGATTGTTTTTGTCAAACTTAAGTTCTGTAGATCAGACAGAGTCGGTCGAATGAAATTCAAAGCCGAGAATCCTTAATCTAAAGCAATTCAAGAGCTTTGATTTTAGACCGTATGGCCCTTAAATAGCTCGAACATTTGTAAGGTCTTACGAAACACTTTATTCTTTTTCTGGAATTGTAGGAGCTCTCTGGATTTTTGTCCCCCCCCCCCCCCTTTCCCCCAATAAATCACATCTCTATTTAGTTTGTCGAAACAAAACCAGTTGAAAGTAATTTTACCTTTACGTTATTATTCTACTTCAATGTATAAAGGGAGACAGACAGACAGACTTACCGTGTTCTCTTGTGAGAGAAATTATTATTTGGCTTCGTCGCTTTTTTCCTCCAAATCCTTTTCACGAGGACACGTTATTCATCCATTAACATAATTGGCGCCGTGAGCTTGTGTGTTTATTGCCGAAGACTACAAGGCACTAACAATTATTATTTTAGACTTGCTGAAAAATAAATCATTATATCACACACTCCCCTGGACACTGCAACAATAAATCATGTCTCTTGAGCGTAACGTGTCAACGGAACAGATTATATCGCTTTTCTCAGAACATTATACTGTTTTCTTGAAGTCATTTAAATCCTAACTAGATTTATTTTAACATTTTTCAAGAACAAAACACCCCAGCCCATCGATGGACAAAAAGTTTAACCCGATTTAATAATGTAGCATAAACATGATGTATGCAGACAGTCTGTTAAGATGATGACTTGTCTAACACCCGAAAGTTCAATCGGAAAATCAGAATTATTTTCGGTATTTGCCATTCCAAGTCGCACATATTATATTTCTTTCTGTCTTCTCTGTGTGTCTCTCTATGTGTGCGCGCGCGTGTGTGTGTGTGTGTGTGGGGTCTTTTTTGGGGGGGGGACATCGCGTTTCGGAGTGTCAAGATGTGAATTTTTGGCTTTTTTTAAAGACTCAAAGTGGGTTGCAACTGTTTAAAAAAAACACAACAGACAAATAAACAAGCAAAAAAAACCCACCCAACCCATTAAAAATCCAAAAAACAATACCCTCTCCCCAAAGAAAACAACAACAGCAACAACAATAACCAGACCCTCCGATATCCCACATGCGGACGAAGGAAACATACTGTAATTTCCTTAAAACGGGAGACTCAAGTTTAGTCCCGCAGCGACCAGTCACTACTGGCAAATATCAGGACCGGTCACTTCTCTGGGCTGCTGGCCTACAAAAATTAGAATAGACTAAACATTGGACCCAATCTGTCCATTGTGCAGCGAGGAGCCCCGAGATTCGGAGCACTGGCTACTCAGATGCCCCACGACGGAGATCCGGCGGTAGCATCTCTTTGGGGAGGATTCAGGGAGGTTAGACTGCCTCACCCGCTGCCCAAGAGAGGCGGTTGCCCTGGCGAAGAGCATGCTCTTCGGGGCTCCCGACATTTCAAACGGATAGGCTACCGCACAAACACACACACAACAACAACAACAACAACAACAACAACAACAACAACAACAACAGCAACAACAACAACAACAACAAAACAAACAAAAACAACCCTGAACGATCAACAAGTAATAAACCATCTGTTTTTTGTTCTTCCTCCCATCCCCAGAGAGTGGAGGAGAGTTGTCTCCCAGGCATCACAGGCCACCAGTTGAGGGAGCTCAGCCGAGGGATGGGCAACTCCAGTTATTTGTATGGCCATTTGTTACGTCACATCATGGTGCCGCGCGTATCTGGCACAGAGAGCAACAGGGTCGTGGGACAGGTGAGTAGCACCAAAGATCGTTCATAACAAGATAGTTCAGTCGGCCAAAAAAGAGTCGGCGGAAGTCTGAGCATTGCCTCAGAAGGCGCTGCAGTCTTTGTTTTGAAGCTCTCTTTCGTTTCTTCAGAAGAAGGATAGGAATAGCACAGTTTGTTAGTCTCACTTTTATTGTTTTCCACACAAGTTGGGTAACTCATGTTCGCAATTTTTGGAAGAGAGCGCCACCGGATTTTGAGGACACTTTTTTAATTAATTGGCTCAAAGAGAGGAGTGTGCTATCTTGTTATGTACGATCTTTGGTAGTACATGAACATTGTTGCCGGTTTGGCGTGCGTTATCATCCGATTCTGGGGGGAAATCAGATCATAATATTATTATTGCTTCATGCTAGTTTGCGTGTTGTATGTTATTTATCAGGGATGAAAATAAAAAATTTTGTGGGTGTTGTTGTTGAGTTCTTTTGCTTTCTTAAATCAATTACTTCGTTGTTGTCACTTCAGGTTGTTTTTTTGTTGTTGCTTTTTTAGAGGGGGGGAGGGGGTTAAATCACTTATTGCGTTGTTTTTTGCTACTGTCATAATAATATATGCTTTTGTTTACAATTTGCTTTTTCACAATGTTTTTCATTGAAACACTATTTTCTTTTCTGCCGTTTGCATCACTACTGTCATCATCATCATCATCATAATCATCATCATCATCATCATCACCAGCATCATCACCATCACCATCATCATCATCATCATCATCATCATCATCATCATCATCATCATCATCATCA